GGCTGGTTAACGCTCTTCCAACTAGATAATCGTATCTTACTACGTTCGCTTCTTCCAACCCATTTATGCAAGCACTTTGTTTCCGCACTCTTCAGAGAACGTGTTCAACAGCATTACCGGACCCTACTTGACCGGATGGATGAACTTAGTCGTACTGAAGCCGCTCGACTCCGTTCAGAGGCGAAGATGATGAAACCCAACGATGAACACGTCGTGAAACGGCGCCTGGAAAAAGTGTTCGAAGTGAGTTTCTTCTCAGTATGTATGAACAATTTGAACGTCGACACCATTCAGGTAAATGAAGCGCAACATTTTCTCTTTATCTGTTTTACTGATCTCCTTTTAACTTGGTCGATGGCTCGTTCAATGAAACCATCTGCTCTTGGCTTGATCATGGAGTCATACATTATCCATAGAACTACGACGACAGATCAAGAGGATTCCCTTGGTTGCTGAACACCTCATGTACGAGCATGTATCCGCACTTCGTGTGGCGATTTCGGCGTGGCCCAATAGTGGCTGATGACTTGGTTTCGTAATCCCAGTAAGAATGCCGTGGGGTCTCTGGAAGCTCAGTCACTCAAGGACTTTCGCCGTTATTGTCACTCGCCTTGAAGGTGTAATAGTAGGGGTCACGTGATTTCCTCGTCATCAGTTTCAGGGTGTTACTCTTCGGACCAGAACCTGCTGACTGGTTTACAGAACCAGCGAAATCTATCCTAGCTCGACTACGGGGTAATCAGCTGTTTGCATTTTCGGGCAATCAGCTGATCGATGGCCAATCCGCGGGTTATTTTATCCACATGGTCATGAATCCTCGTGAGCAGCCACCGGATTATTGCCAAATCGTAAAGCGTGGCTTGTGCTTATCTGTCTGCGATGACTTTTTGCAGTGAGATACATCAACTTCAGAAATGTCTATTATTGTTGTCACTACTCAAGTGCAGTGGTCGCACTTAATCATCACAACTTTGGGTAACTTGACTGGTCATGCATCATCATAGCCAGAGAAGTTTCATTTGTCCCCAAGTACTGAACGCGGCTCAACAGCCACTATACTACCGATTCGGTGAAAACCAAAGTTTCTGCGCACGCAGCAGCCTCGAGATATGACATACATTTCTCTTGCTTGCTGATTCCCTAATCTCAGCATAGCATATCGCTACCGTCCTCGAGGAACGATGTTTCGTTTCATCGCATCGTTAACTAACATCACTGGTCCCAGATCTATCGCTTCATTTGGTTCTGAGAACGTTCGTTGTTGTGCCCCGTAACCTGATATCTATCTCGTAGTTCTTTGCTGATTTCTCGTCCGGTTCCTCGTCATCGTTCAGCTGTAGCACCCTTCCGGTGCCTAGCTGCCATGCCACCCGCTGGAAGCACGAGGGCTGGGATACTGCCAGGTTTCCCAAACCTAGACAGGGGAAGTTGAGAGGCAGAGGTCAGGTTCGAACCATGGACCTTCCGATCATTGAATTCGCGGTCTAAGCCCCCGATTCCTCATATCCTCAGGGTATCATTCTATACTTTTTTTCAGAAAGAGATATTGCAACAACTATCCGACACAAGACAGCAACCTGACAATGCGGAGTTTCCTAATTCTTTGGATCACGTAGTACGTGCCTCAAGACCCTCCGTTTGGGACGAAATGGACGAAAATGCTGCGGTATCTGATGACCTTCAAACAAGTGGGGAGACAAAACGTGGAGTCTTAACCTCTCGCGAAAATCTCATGCAAGAAGTGAGAAAAGGTTAGTCGGCCTTAGGTTATTTCCTTCCAAATCCCAACTGGTTTGCTTTACTAAAGTCGCCGCAGATTCTCATCCGCTCTACCAATCACCACTCCTTTGCGTCTGCTCCTGCGGAGCGCATGTGCTCTGAGATTTTGTGGCATTTGTGCTAATTGTGACCTCCCCTGTGATCCAGAGAAGTGAATCACCGCAGGACTGAAATTTGAATTTCTAGCTTGCGAAATCCAAGTTTCCCTACACGTTATGTCTTCTCCATCTAGGCTTCCTGTCATTCTTCTCATGTTATTTTGCAATAAAGTGTATCCCCTGTACAATGACCCCTTGTTTGACCGGCGATAACCATCGGGGACCAAGCGCGTTGTGGGTACTGTGAGTGAGCACTTAGCTATCGAGCTCTTCCCATACGTCTACCCACTCCATCTGTACGTTTGTCGACTTGCTTTGTCCAACTTGTCACGGTACTCGCCGTTGACCTTCCCACACTGTCATGCACGCTTGTCTGTGTGTCCGCCCACCCATCGGCGCTTGCTCGGTTTGCTCTGGCTTGGGACTAGAGGCCCTGCAAATCAGATTTCATCCCACTGGCCGCTGTCGGATGCACGGACTCTGGCGCTGCACAATATAGTCGAATGATCAGAATTGCATATTTGCTATCAATCTCATGAACATGGAGGATTGGGGTTCGCGCTTGGCTGCAAAGGGTATTGTAGGCTTTCCTGTCCAACTCCCTTCTGGTATTCAGAGTCGTCTAACCTGCTCCCAACTCGAAGTTTTGCATCTGAAATTCAACAGGTTGGCTGTTCAGCATTTTTGACAAGATCGATCAAAATTGAGGATGTTCCAAAGTAGGATTTTTGGGGGAAATCCTATTAGAGCCATCCCATTTTCCCGAATATCTCAGCTGCCGTCCCATTACATTTAAAATACAGTTCACCGAGCGAACTCGTGACATACTTTCATCTTTTCTAAATACGAGTTAGTACTGGCTCAGGATGTCCATAGATGCCAGTAAAACAATCTTTGGATGACTCCTCTGTGTTGGGAAAAGAGTCCCGAGTTTGTGGGGAGTATTCCCGGTGTATTGATGCGTCATCATGTTACATGCAGTCACTGATGGTTCGGCGGAGTAGGACGTGATCTTTTTCCTTCTCGCACTAAATTCGGGTGCCTAGTTTTACTTATTTGCGGTTGTAATTCGTCCGGACGTTTGTCTCTTTTTCTGTCACGGCTGTACGACTCACTGTTTCACGACTTAGGTGTCCGGTCGAAGAAATGCAAGCAACTGTTGAAGGTTAATTTTGTTGCCTCGGGTCTCTTTTCTCATACTGGGACACCCTTGTAGCTACATAATCGTCTCCGTAGACAGGCGCGTTGTCCTACAGTTCAGCTGTAACACCCTAGCTGCCATGCTACCCGGAGGAAGCACGAGGGCTGGAATACTGCCAGGTTACCCAAGGCTAGACGGGGAAGTCGAGAGGTAGAGGTCGGGTTCGAACCACAGACCTTCCGGTCAGTAAATTCGCGCTCTAACCACTTGAGCCATCTTGCCCTTGTCCTACAGTTGAGTCAAATGAACTAGAGAGTGCAACTCGTCGACTACTGCTATCAACGATTGTTAACACTGGTACTGCGACTCTGAATCGTCAACGCTTCACTGCGTGAGTATTGCGCATGTCAACTGCGGTTCGATGGATCGTGGTCGGTTTGCATCAGTTAAGTAGTCCAATTGTGTTTAGCACTCTCTAAGTGAAAAGCACAAAAAGCCACCCTGAGAATTTGAATATTCGCATTGGGACAGGGGCAAGTTGGTCTTATTAGCCTTTCGTACGCTATACTTGTTCCAATTAGGAACTGAACTGATTGGTTCATTCAACTGACTGTTTTGAAGCGGTGATAAACATTGTCCGTTTGCCATTCGTTAGCTGCAAGTCACTTGCTACGAATAGCGCTCATTGTTCACATTGGATGCAAATGAGGGTTTGTCTGTTCAACGTTCGCGTTCCGTCCAGACAACAAGCCTAGGATTTCGAAACCACTGTGCAACATGAATGACTATACACTAAATAAATGGGTTGGGAAATCCGCCGCTCGCGGATCGCCACGGAGGGAAGTTTCTAGCGAAATTGTTCACGATTAGGTACTGTCCTAAACTACGCTCGGTTTGTCGGTGTGCCCCTCTGATTTCTCCCCGGTAGACGACCTATGTATTGGTTTAACACGCCCGTTTGGATGAGGGAGCTTTTTCATTGCATTAGCTGTTACGATTTTATGAGTCATGGCGTTTCTTGCGAAGTCGGTGCTTACTTGACGACTGGTGCTGGCTACGCCCACACTCCTAATGAGCCCCGACCAGGAAGATACACGTTCCAGAACCCACCCCACTTCTGCTATCCAATAATCACTGGCAAAAGCTGCAAGCTCATGGCTTGTTAACTATCCTCAGATCCTTCATAAGAAATGTCTGAAGAGTTGGGAACCATTCTGACCGTTAGCGGGCAGATTCTAACAAATCTCGGTGCGTGTGTGTGTGTGCGCTTAATCAACCTGGAGCCTCTGTGCATGCGGTTTCGCCCGTGGATTGTCAACAAGTAAGTTCCACACATGTATCGCACTGAAGTTTACCCTTCGGCAGCGAAGCATTATGGTTGCCGAAGAGAGTGCTGTTTTCCATGCCCAATTCAGAGTGACGTAAACAGAGAGGTGGCGAACCCTTGACTTGGCAGACGAGTATGAAGGAGACCACGAA